GAGAGAGAGATGTCAATTACATAAATGCTTCATCTTCCGTCTCGCAAAATTGTTGCTGAAGATACAGTGGCAACACTAATTGCGAGCTCAGGACATGCCACGTTCATGTTGTATGAATTAAACCCTTCGTTCTGCATTAGGGATGTGTAGCTTATGTAGGCCGGTGATAAATCAGGCAGCGAGTGACTACGGCTGAGGTACTGGATGACCTTTCGCATGATAGGCCGCACATTGGGCAATGGGTAGGTGCATATCAAACCAAGTTTGAGCGCGATGGTTACCTCCTCCATGTTGAATTCCCCTTGGAGTCGTGGATCTGCCGTGTCGAGGATTGAGCCATCCCGGTGGTGCTCAAGTACCCACTCCACCAACAATACCCTATTATTTTGCTTGTCGGTGAAGATTGGCCTACGACCACATGTGACCTCCAAGAGAAACATGCCAAATGCGTATACATCGGTGAAGGGTGTTGGCCTCCCTGTGTGCATGAGTTCTGGTGCAAGATATCCAATGGTGCCAGCCACACGGGTGGCTTGAGCGGAGGTTTCATGGTCGTATATCCTTGCAAGACCAAAATCACCTAACCGCCCATTCATCCGACTATCCAAGAGCACATTGCTTGGCTTTATGTCTCGGTGGATGACGACATGCTCCCATTTCTCATGAAGATAGAACAAGCTTGAGGCCACACCTTTGATGATCCAATACCTCTGAGGCCAACCCAAAACTAGGCCATTTATATTGTGTAGGTATTTGTCAAGGCTACCATTTTTCATGTACTCATAAACCAGCAAAAGTTCACCTTTACGCCTAGAGTAGCCCAACAGTTGCAGGATATTTCGGTGTCGAAGACGACCAATGCTCACCACCTCAGCGATGAACTCCTTTATTCCTTGCCTTGAACTATGTGACATTCTTTTCACGGCGACCTCCATGTCAGGCCTTCGAAGCACACCCTTATAGACACTGCCAAAACCTCCCCTCCCAAGTAGGTTTTTGTCACTGAACCCCTCGGTTGCATGAAACAAGTCCTTGTAAGAGAATCGGTTCGGGCCGAAGGGGACCTCCCAGTCCTCATGCACCTCGGAGAACTTGAGACGCCGTCTTACAAAGATGTAGATTCCCATGCCTCCTGAAACCAACGTCATCGATCCTAAGGCAAGAATTATCTTCAGTGATATGGACATGGACCGTGGCTTGGGCCAGGCCGGTGGCAAGTTTGGCAGCGTCGAGATGTCTAGCACCGGTGCTGACCCATCCAGCGCGAAGCTCCAGCCGAGGACGAAGTGCTGTGCGAACAGACTGCCCGTTGCCGATGAGAAGCCGACGTACGCCGTGCTTTGCACCACACCCGAGAGGTCGACTGTGGTCTGCAGGAGGGGCTTCTTGGGCCTGGCCACGCCAAGGGGAGCCATGGTCACCGTGATCTTCGTTGTAGTGCTGTCGTAGTCCACCCACACTTGCATGGCCTTCCGGCTTACCAGGCTTAGGTTCATGAACGGCCCGGTGCCGTCATCGTAGTACCCGGCGTCGGTGGAATCGAGCGACACCAGGCTATCAACGTCGACGCCGACGTGGTTGCTATTGATGTCGTGGAATTCGTCGTTAAAGAGTGTGTCGAACTCCACGGCGAAGATGTGGTTGCTCCGGTTGCCATTGTTGGTGTCGTTGAGGAGGCCCAAGAACTGGCCTGGCGACGCAGTGGAGAGCAACTCCACGGACGCTGAGACGAAGAAGGCCATGCCGGCGCTGCTTAGGTCAGCGTACTGCCCGTAGATGGCGAAGACGAAAGTAGTGGAGAAGGACCGCACGGCGCCGGTGCCGTTCGCGTCGGCGCGAAACATCAGAGGGGACGGGTGGAAGACCTGGCCTTTCGTCTGAATGGTGCCGTTGGTCAGCATGAGGAGGCCGTTCGGCATGACCTCGACCGCGCCGTTGAGCGTCAGCTTTGCGCCTGCGAAGCCGTTGTAGGCGAACTGCGGACGGACATCGCTGCGACCCGCGACGCCGGTGTCCGCCAAGCTGCGACCAGGAGCGACGAGGAGCAAGAGCAGAGCGACCAAGTGGTAAGGCTCGAGAAGAAGCATGGCTCTCGTACCACCAGCGGCGCAGAAGGAGCGCACGCCGATCTCTTCGTCCTTGGCCATGGTGCTTGGAATTTCTGAGCCGTACAAGGGTCAAGACAATATCTCCTTGTGAGTGCTTCCGAGGTGTGGTGACGAGAACACTGGGAGCCTTGTGGTTGAATGCAATACTTTTCAGGGCAAGGCAAGGCCCCCTCAAGTCTCAAGCACCATCAAGGCGAGGCAAGGCAACCTCAAGTCTCAACTCTGTAGTCTTACTGTATTTGAGACGTGAGAGGACCGGCAAGGCCAGCCAACCTCAAGTCTCAAGTCGTCGTTGTAGTACGTGCTACGCACGCTTCAGGCCAATGCCTGCTGGTTAACTCACAAAGTCACAATCCACTCACTTAATGCTTTGTTGGATCTAGTCTCTACTCCTAATATCTCAGTACGTAAGTCGTTCGTTCGCTTCGTTCGTCCCCGCTGCCGGCGCGGCTGCCAGGGAGCCACGGGTGCCAGCGATCCACAGGTGCCGGCGCGGCTGCGAGCGAGACACGGGTCCCGGCGCGGCTGCGAGCGAGCCACAGGTTAGTAACCTGTACACAGTTTACTTCTGGAAGAACTAATGCGGGAAGAGACTGGTGTGACATAGGCCCAACTGTTCGTCCGATTAGTACATGGTCCTGACTGTTCTTGTGTCCTACCGAGGCATATACCTGTTGAAAGTAAGTAGTCAACTGCTTTAAGTATACAACCAATGCATAGCAAGCCTTGACATATGTATACATTCAACCCTTTCGAAAACTTACTGTGTCGAGCCATGTCGTTGCTTCTTGAGAGGTATCCTAACCCCGGCTATAATTTTTCTGACGTTCTACCGAAGTAACCTGTACCAAGAACATGGCTCAAAGAGGATAATTTGTTTTATACATGCTTTCTATTCAACAAGCAACACTATCAGAATAATAGCAGCACGAATATGATTGTGCGGTTTCAGATTAGCTCCATAGTGTTCCTTTTTTTAATTATCAAGAGCTTGTTAAAATAATTGTGGTAGATAATTGATATGGAATCCAGTATGCACTTATATGCACTTAGTTGACTATCTTCAGTTTCTATATATACTGATGGAACTATCTTCAGTTTGTATATATACTTGTCACAAATCAGTACTTGTCACAAATCACAAATCACAAATCAGTACTTGGCACAAACCTATCTTGGTGGTCAAACATAGTGTTCCTCAAGCATGTACTGATGGAACTATCCCTGCCATTTATTTGTATTTAGGTAAGAGTCCATGCATTTATTTGAATGGTCTGGTAGTTCATAATCCAAATATTTGAGGAGCACATATATACATATGAGCGTTACCAATGCATACAAAAATAAATGACATGGATAGTAGAGTGATGACAGGGTGAAACTGTATGGAGAGAAATAGAGTGATGACACCAAAGCAAGAGCAAGGAGTAGACCGAAATAATTGGCAAGCACGCTTGTTACACTAACATGAAGGTCTACAGAAAAACTTCAGGATTTTGGAAATTTATTGTGTTTACAAAACAAGATCCATCTACAGGATTTTGTTTTCTATTTACTGTTCACCAGGGAGTATATGCTCCCTGGAGCCAAAACTCCAAGCAAGTTTGTCAGGTCAGTGGCGTATGAGAAATAAGATTTTGTCCGAGAAAAAATACTACAAATGGAGGACGAGATGATGCTGCCAGGCCAAAACAACATTTTCATGTTGTCCCCTGACTCTATGCTTTTCTGTGTGATTTCTACTCTCCTATTTTATTTTATTTTTTTGCTTTTCTTAATCTCGACCAGCCTAGGAAGAAGAAAACTTGAATCAAAGTAGTTAATCCATTGCACAACTCAATGCATTTCAAATTGTTCTGATGACTCCACCAAAATCATGCATATATAAAGATAATACAAGGTTAGTTACCTTCCTTTGTGCAGGACAAGAACTCTACCCGCTGCCATTTTACGGAACCTGTAACAAGCAATGCATTAGATAACAAAGCTGGTTATTGGACAGAAAAAACTGAAGAGAATCATTATTGTACCAAACATGCCAACAACTTACTTTACTTCTGTTCAATGTAGATTAAAGTGCGTTAAATATAGTATACGGTACTTATTGATCTGCTTTGCCAATGACAATTGTCTATGACAGTGATGTCCTCAAACGACTTGACCCCGTTTGGTTCTCGTTGGGAAAGGGTGAATTTGCTAAGCAACACCGACAGCGACAAATGAAGGCGACAACTGGGCTCCGACAACCTCTTGGTGATATCACCAATGTTGATAGACTCCCCAAAGAGGGTCCAGGTATATTGAATTGATAATTGATTGGTATTTGGTGATTGTTAAATTACTAATCTGAACAATCCCTTTCGCAAGCCATTGGAGCTGGCCCACAACCATCGAGTGGCTTGTTTATTCGTGAAGCAGATGTCCCGTCTCCCTCGACCATAGAACTCCCGAAAGGGATTCCAGGTATAACTCATCAGCAATATTTAGATGCCTTCGATATTGGTGATTACTAATTTGAACAATCCCTTTCGCAAGCCGTTGCATCTGACCCACGACCATCGAGCAGCCTGATTATACATGAAGCACCAATCCCCTTTGCGTCAACCATAGAACACCACAAAGGTAGTCCAGGTATAACTTCCGAACTCACACCTCCTTTGAATTTCTAAATATAATGAAGAGGGAAAATTAATCAATCAGAGGGGACTGTTGCGAGTAATCTGGTTTGGTATTTAATTAATATATTGCAACCCTGATGGTGCATGATTTTATCCATAAATACTATTACTGTTCAAAATCGGATGCTAATGTGTGTATACCTACAACAACAGATGGAGCTACGAGGGGCCGTGCTGGCCAACGTAAAGGGACCTTATCAAAGGAAGAAAGGGATGTCATAAACGCACGGAGAAGAGCAACTTATAAGAATAAAAAAGAAGAGCAAGGGTATCAAGAACAAAAGGATAAGTTGAACACAAAGAGACGAGAATCTTATCAGAAGAAGAAACAGCAGGAAGACCGACAGCGACAGATGGATGCGACAAATGGCCTCCGACACGCTCTTGGTGAAGACACCAATGTTAATATACTCCCCAAAGAGGGTCCAGGTATATGGAATTTGTGTAATGTTTTTAGTAATTTGCCTTCAATGTTGTTTCTTACTAATTAGCAAAGTCCCTTTCGCAAGACAACCAATCTAGCCCACAACCATCAAGCGGACTGTTTATTCGCGAAGCACCAACCCCATCGCCCTCAATCATTGAACTACCCAAAGGGAGTCTAGGTATAACTCCTCAGCAATCTCTAAATGCCTTTCATATTGAATTTTTACTAATTCGAACAATCCCTTTCGCAAGCCATTGCATCTGACCCACAACTATTGAGCGGCCTGATTATACATGAAGCAACAATCCCCTCTGCGTCAACCATAGAACTCCCCATAGGTAGTCCAGGTATTACTTCCGAACTCACACCTCCTTTGATTTTCTACAAACATCCAAACAAAAATTTAATCCACCTCAGTGACCACTTGCTCGTAATCTGGTTTGGTATATAATTAATATATTGCAGTCATGACGGTGCATGATTGTAGAGGTAAATACTACTCCCTCCGTCCCAAAATAATATATAGTTTGTACTAACTTTGTACTAAAATAAGTACAAAGTTGAGTCACTTATTTTGGGACGGAGGGAGTACTACTGTTGTACCTCCAGTCAACCATGAGAGCTTTGAACTTGATTGTTCTGGTTAGGATGCTAATGTGTATAGACCTACAACAACAGGTCCAGCTACGAGGGGTCGTGAGGGCCAACGTAAAGGGACATTATCAACGGAAAAAAAATGATGTCATAAATGCACGGAGAAGAGCAACTTATAAAAAGAAAAAAGAAGAGGAAGGGTACCAAGAACAAAAGGATAAGTTTAACACACAAAGACGAGCAGCTTATGAGATGAAGACACCGAAGGACACAAACACATTAGATATTATAAACACAAAGAGGCGAGCCGCTTACGAGAAGAAGAAGGAACAAGTAAACACGCAAAGACGGGAAACGGCTCAGAAACATCGAGATAGCTTAACACAAGAGCAGAAAGGGGAGATGAGTGCTCAGCGCCGACAGCGGGAGAAAGCTATCCGGAGCACCCCGTGTGCTGAATCCATCGCGATGCCTCGTCCTGATTTAGCAACCTCAGCTACGGCGAGCGGTCACACCTTCAAATCTTACGGTATTCCTTGCATGTGTACTCCACATCTTATGTTCGTATGCATTAAACAAATATTTACTTGCTCCGTATCGGTGCAGCCGCCTACTATAGCAGTACGATGGATGATAATATCCTCATGTTGGATCCTGGGCAACAATCCCATGGTGAACAAATTGATCGTGCTCCTACTGTCACCAAGAGCCCCGCATACAGTAGAAACACCGAAACCGATGGTACTTATCCCATCAGCAACCAGCTTTCATTTTGTAAACATTCAACAGTTGTTTATGACAACTCAAAAATGTTGCAGGTGCCTACCTAAGTAGAACCTTCGGTGACGGGGCTGTAGATGACGACCCAGTCGAAATCGATGATCACCTGAAAAGTGTCGACCAGCTAACCAGTGATCCGCTAACAATATCGGATAATGGAGCTGATGAGCAAAGGCATGAGTACAGAGCTCAGCATAGGACGAGAGAGCGAGCTTGCAAGGGAAGTATGGTGATGAACAAGCGTCAGGAGGAAATTGGCAAGCGAAAATCATGTACGCATGTACCACATGGTGAGAGGAAGGCTCTGCTAGATCGTCGTAATGAAAGCTTTGCAGGTAGGGTGAAGACCAGAACCGTCAGGTCCATCTCCATACCGGAAATTAGCTCAACGGGACAACCAACCGTAGTTGAAGCACACGGTGCCTCAACCTCATCTAGCACGCCCGAGTACACGATCAGAACTGAAGGTAACACCCCCGTCCTTACTCTCCTTGCGTCCCTTGAGACTGAACCCTCATTTGTGTTGTTTGGCACCTGGGCAGACGACATGGACGCTTACC